AGGAAGGCAGCTCTCCCCGGTTGACGATGGCTTGCACCCGTTTTCAGGCCCATACCACGCCACGCCGCTAGCGGCGACAGGGGAGGTAACGACACAAAGGCAAGGCCCAATAGGAGAAGAAACAACCTCATCAATTTCTTCGGAGATTGTTAGCCGCAGTGGTCTTGACCTTGTCGTCTTGGACTTGAAGTACAAGAGCTATACCAAGCTCTTGTGCACTTCGGGTAGCTCGTCGAGCGCCGAGCCCGACCACCAAAAGGACCACGCGGCAGCTGCCTCCGCAACCCGCACCAACAGCACACATCTTTTGTATTGGCATCCAATCTCGAGGCATTGCCCTACACCATCCCTACCCAATACTCGGATCGCCACCACAGCTCCAGAGAACATGACTGGCCCGATGGGAGATGCCCGCCTGGTAGCCCGATTGTTAAGCGCGGAAGACTAGGGTGATTCGAAGGTTGACGGCCAATGGGGCTTGAGAGGCAGCAAAAATGGCCGCTGCAGCAAGCCAACAACCCGAGGTTCCCGCATGGAAGATGCACGTCGTACCTTGCCCAGGGCGCGATCATCTCGTGCAAGAGTAACCTCCTGTCATCTCACTGCCTAAGTGCCATGATGCCATGAGGATGCAACTACCAGTAGGGTAGGGCCGTTGCGAAAATCTTGCTCGAGTCTATTACACCCTAATGCCGCCGTTCGAACGTATCACCAACACCACTTCCTCGTCGGGGAAGAGTCAGCGGGGACTGCCTAACCCGCGCGGAATCGGTGGCGGGGACCATTCCGGTCGGCACGGGCGGAACCGAGAAAGGCGGAAACGATGGCAGCTTGACAACCTTCCCAGCTTAGGATGGTCCCTGAAGTGTACTTTGTACACCCTGGAGTACCACGGCGGAAGGGGGTACATCTGCATGCGTTGTATGAGGCGGTGCCGTGGTGACTTTCAAGGTTTTGGAAGAAACATGCACAGATTTTTCCGAGCTAATATCTGCAAAAGACCATGCCACCTCGTCCCATGCCGCTTCAATGCCTGGCCTGGATGTGTTTCGAGGCTGTGTATGGTGTAAATCGACGCTTGGACCCACTCGACCCGACAGCTCGGAACCTGGCTCGTGCACGACAGGGATCACAGTCACAGGCAGAGTGACTCAAGTGGTAACACATTTTGCGGGGAGTCGCTGCAAATTACGTTATCGGCTGATTTGGGCAGCGCGAGCGCCCCTTCCAGCACGCCCCGGCGTGGTCTTAGTTAGCAGATCCGCCGCTAAACGCGATTGGGGTCCCGAGCTCAAAACCCCAATCGTTATCCGACGGCAATTGCCATGTTCGGCCCTCAGACAACCAACAACTTGAACCAGCAACCACAAGTGAACGAATGCCAGGGCATCACCTTGACGGCCGGCGGAGATGGCCGATGGTGACATGGACACGGCCTAACTTTACCTCGTTTTTTTTTCTTCATTTTTGACTCTCCTTTCACTTCCGCGCCCTTCTGGAACGAGGCTGTGGGCATCGAGCTAGGTCGCCCAGAATGCGGCCACCGTGACAACGCCAAAGGCTGAGCCCCCATTTGGTCCACCATGTTCGACATCCTGCTTCAGGTTTTTTCATCCATCATGGCCAAGTTTCAAAATGAGACCCTCCTTATCGCCGCATTCAGTCACCGCATTGCATTCCGTCAAGATGAAGCAAGCGATCGACTGGTAGCAAGCCACTATGCAGCAGTGTAGATGCGCCAAGACTCGCGATCCCAGGCACAGAACAGGAGGGACTCCCCATGGCTGCCCAATTACCATGTGTATCTCATGATACAATGAGACGAGAGGCCTCATATCATGTACGTCGTGCTCTTGATAATTTCAAAAAATGATCAATCCTTCGCTCAACCACCTATCATATCTGCCCGTCTCCAAGTTGGGTCACCGCTTCGGTTCCATATCCGCACTTACACGACCGCCGTCGCCGCACCCTTTGAGACTCGTTTCAAACCCCTGAGCTCCCTCTCTCATTCCAGCCCCCGTTCCCCTGCATCAATTATCCTTACCATGCCACCATCTCACTCGGTCCATCGCAGCCCAATTCAATCCCATGACCAGGATGCAACCTAGTTTAAGGCAGGAGAAGGGAAGACCACATGGGGAGTAGATTACGAACCATCCCGCGCCTTCATCATCACTGAAGAACCTGAGTAGAGTAGGTACTTGCAGCCCAAGTACATCCTACACGTCCAAAGCCAAGAGTAAACCCCACACACCATCATGAACGGCGACGACGGGAACGCCTTGATCCCCAACTGCAACATCAACACGCCCTCAGCCTCATTCCCACCCACATCCGGCCTCCCTTTCCCCCCTTTCCCTTCTCCCTATCAAAAGATCAAGAAAGCGATCTCTACCGCCCCAGGTCCCAGGCACCCAGGGGGGCAACTAAACAACCAACACAGGCAGGGCAGAGCAGGCAGGCAGAGTAGGCAGCCGCCCGGTCACCCGCGACGATCGATGCCCGAGTCACCGAGATATGATGATATGATGATGACATATGAAAACATAACAGCCTCGCCGGAGGAAAGTAGTCACACGTCGTCGGGCAATTCGCCGAGATAAACGCGATGGACGCGTGGGGACCGGACGCGCCATCCCCCCTTCCTCTTCCGGCCCAACAACACCAACCCCATCGCCGCCGCCGCCGCCCACACTGAGATGGCTGCAAAGAAAAATCACCCAGCCCTACCCTACTACCCCTTTCCGTCCTTCCATCCCTCCGTCATCGACACACCACCCTCCCACGCCCACTCTCTCACGCCCACTCTCTCACGCCCACTCTCTCATGCCCACTCTCTCACGCCCACTTTCTCACTTCACACCCACTCCACCATCCCATGACTCATAGAGAGAAAGGCAAGAACCGAGACGGAGACGGAGCTATCACCGGGTGTTGGAAATCATCCCCCATTCATTTCCCACCCATCACCAACACAACACAACACATCACACCACCAACCAAACCCAACCCGACACCAAGCTGATGGATAATACGTACCTTGTCCATTCGCTGTGTTGTGTCAAATGTCAAATACGATACAAATCACTACACAGCCCCCCGCTCCTCATATCCCCTCCCTTCATCAGGCGCATCCATCCCATCCACTCATTATCCCTCATCCCCACCTGCCCCCCCCCCACCCCCAAATTAAGTAAACAAGGCAGGAAAGGAAGCCACTCGTAAAAACCAATCCGGTGCTACAAATCAAGTCTCTCTCTCATTCTTTGAGTATGCCGTATGATGAAACGTCCCCAACCTTATCCCCATCTATGCATGTCTGCAGTGACGGCGGTAGTTCAAGAGGGGAGGGTGGGTATGTTGTGGAAGAAAAATGCTCGTTGTTTTTGTTATCAACAGGAGCTGGCTGGGTTCCAGTTCCTTTTGCTATCATTATGCCCCCCGCCCCCTAAACTTCATCGCCCGTTGTCGGGTGGGGGGGAGCGGCCAAGGCCATTGAGACTTGCGCCCCCCAACAAGCTAGTCAACTCCCTCGACGGAGACGGCGATGTCGGGTCCGGCGCCGGTCGTTGAGAGAAGCGGAGGCGGGACGCCGAAGGGCCGTGGGCGTGGGGAACCCCGAGGTACTGCTCGTAGGCGGTGTTATACTCAGCAATGTTGAGTTTGTACAAGCTTTGCTTAGGGGGGTGAGAGGGAGGGACACTGGCGTCTAAGGGGGGTGTCGGTGACGGGAAACCGGAGCGGGAGCTGCCCGGCGGGCGGCAAGTGGGGGACATGCTTCTTGTACTTCGTATGGGATCATGTCCTGCTGTGATGGAAACCCAACCGCGACGCGACGGCGGGTGGTGTTTCGCCGCGACTGCACAAGGGAGTGTCGGTGGCCAAGGGCTTGGATCTATAAAGGCGATATAAAGGCCGCCCGAGCCGCTGAAGTCGATGCTGAACAAGCATGCGAATGATCAGGCGGCAAGTGTGCAGGGGCTCTTTAATTATCGTGAGAGTAAGAGTAAATCGGTGGATGTCGAGGGTCCGCAAGCGAGTTGGCAAACGGACAAGCTATTAGAAGATGATAGCTGTTAGTGTTGGCGATTCTTAGGCCCGGGACGCGAAACATGGTGTTCTTACTCCTATATTATGTATTCAGTCGTTGTTTGCCATCGGAGTGAGAAAGCTTTGCAATGACCGTGTATTGAGTGGATTTTAGCAGTGAACAAAAGATTCGAAGGAATTAGATACAGATACACGTAGTGCCGGTTTCAACGTTCGACTCTTTATCATCATTGAAAATGGACAGGCCAGCTAAAATAAGATATGGCAATGGGATAAGCTCAAAAAGCTCACCACCAAGCCCCATTCCCCGGTGGAATGGAGGTTGGTAGTTACGAAAACTCTGAAAATTAGAGTTTTGCGGCGCGAGGGGGGGTCGAACCGGTCCTCCTCCTAATACCGCTGAGCTAAACTGGTGTTTAACTTCAATCAGGAGGAGGCGGTGACAGTGTGAGCGCGGATCTGATATATGTGGTGCCAGGAAGGTGCCCAATGCGCCAGTGCGCGTTGTTGGAAAGGGGCCCGTGTTCAGACCGAAGGTCGAGATTTCATGTTAGTAGTTTAACCTGACCTGGAAAGCAGAAGGTAACATCCATACAGCAGAGTGCCTATGATCCCCAAGGGGGTAAGACTAAGATGTCGAGTGGTTGTTGTCTCACGTATAGATTTGATAGAGCAAGGCTCATATTGCTCATCAGTGGGCGCAGTGTCTGTAACAGGAGCCGAGGCGGAGCTGTATTGCCATATATATGCTGACACTTTTGGTGCTCTAAGTCTTGGTATTGTGAGGTCTAGCTCTATGTCTAGGTAGCTCTAGGTCTATTTCCCGCCCTTCTTCGTTTCTTCATCGTCCTTTTCGCCCAATCCCGAGTCCCATTTACAACAAGAAAAGAACATGCCTGTAACGCCGCGCCGTAAGACAGGGCCCAACAACCGGGATTGCTGTGAGCCTAGCTGAGAGCGGACCGATCACGCCCAAACACTCCCCACCAGAAACCCACGGCGGGCATCTCCTCGTCGTCATGCTCATTACCCCAGTCGTCTTGCCCATCCACGATGTCCTCCTTCACACAAGAAAGGGGGTTGGGTTGCCGGGCCAACTCCCCCCTTAGGTTGTTGAGGAGCCCTTTGGTGGTCTCATCCCTTTGTGGTACCATGATAAGAGCCCTTGCATCCGGGTTAAGGGCAAGTTGCTCATCAATGGCGGCGGCAAGTAGTGATGGATGGTCGTCATCATACAGGGGGTCTGCCACAATGATGAGCTACGGTCAAGAGTTAGCAATCATTCAGATAACGCAAATATCGTCTTTTCTCTAACCTGGTAGCGGTTCGGCTCCCAAAACATCGGGTCAATGTCGTCTTTGCTACCACCCCATGTCAATGCGGCGACCTCGACTCTGCCGCCCCGACCATCTACGACTTCCTGGTTGAGAGACGCATTGTGCGCCAAGTTAGGGATGATGACGGCTAAGTCTGTGAGGACAACATTTGTCTTCCACACGCAAGCGGCAGCGAGGCCCAGCAGGCCGGTGCCGGATCCTAGTTCGAGGATCTCCTGTGGCACCGCAAGTGCACGGGGAAGAAACAAGTGTGCGAGGGGCCCAGCGCTAAACTCGTGGAGGAGTTGAGCAAGCGCATAAGATGAGCCCCATGTCTTGAGGCCTAGGGAGTCCCCAGTCAGGGGTGGCTCTCTGATCACCAAATCGAAGTCGCCATCGCCGTGATTTTCAAAGGGCCAACGCCGGGTAATCTCCCCCATCGCTACGCTCGCCGTCAGTTTCCCCCTCAAGCCTAGGCCTCCGCAAGCCCCTTTCTACGACGTCGACATACCTGTTCGGCCACACCGCTCCGACATGCGCTTGCTGGCCTCCTCCCAAATCACATCCCGCTCATCATCGCTGTCAAGCCACGGTAACCCGCTCTTGATAATGGTGGACAGGAAAGAAAGTATTTCCCGTCGGTCATGCGCTGTGACGGCCTGTTCCTTGAGAATCTGAGCGCGCGAAGCGTCAAGATTCCACACTGGAGGCTCAACGCGGAGCTTTTTGAGACGTGTAAGAAGTACCTCATAGGTGGGTTTCTGCCATAAGTGAGGAAGATCCTCCTCAGGGGACGGCAGCAGCGTGGTGTTTCTCATGTCCGCGAGGTGTGGGGAATTGTAGTAAAAAGAATTCTACTCAAATGTAACAAGAACAAAAAAAGGAAAAAATGTTGCAAAAGAAGAGAAAGAAAATGACAAGGTAGGTAGCCCAAACAACAAGCAAATGGATGGGAGGAGGAGGTAAGTCAAGATGATTGGAAGAAAGAAAGAAGAAACCAAACCTTTGGCTTGTCAAAGGCGACGAGAAACACTCAGTGGTGTTTGCTTACAAGGAAATGCCTCTTTCCGCATACAGAATCCCGCCAACAGCGCCATCACAACGCAGCGGTCTGGCCTTTTCCTATCGCCCCCCCTGTCCCGGCCCTTCCTGTGCCTCCACGAGAATGGGGGGGCGTGTCAGGTTGGCGGCGACCCACTGCCTCCTCGATTTCTCGAATTTTACTGCCAGCGAACAGCGAAGGAGGACGTTTGGGAGAAAGAGTGGGGGTCATTTTTTCCGAGAATTATTTCTGGCCCGGTGGCAAGAGTGGGTCCATCTAGGCTTAATGATTGGCCATAGCTACCGCGGGGCACTGAGCCGCAATTTTTCATTTGACTCAAAACTGCTGGAGCTTGTGCGACTTCCTTTTTCTTCCCTCTTTCTTCCTCGTGAAGCCTCGTCCTCTTCAACGCTGCGTTTCTATGCTACAAACGGAGAGCCTGCGAAAGCAGTGCTTTCGAATCTATTACAAGCATATGAGAAATTCGGAGAATCCGCTTCACTCTTTGGCTCGTCCGTCTGCGCTTTCGGGCGTCCGATGGGTCGCGGGCTCTGCCGGTGACGGCTTGGCGCGATCACGCGTCTGTAATTGGCATCAGAAAAGCAGGGCATGGGGCTGCCCCGTGGCAACGCGGGTGTTGGTTTCCATGTTTCCTCTGGGAGAGCCGTTACGAAGCTTGTGCCCAACACTTGAGTGCAATACGCAGCGTGCGGTCTCGTCTCCTCTGGGGATGAGGCCGCACAATTCGATTCCGATTATTCTGTTGAGGACGAGGCTTCACCAACTCTTTTTTCTCTAGGTAAGAAGTGACTTCTATTCAGAGAGGGCGAGGATACTGCTAACCAACTATTCGCCGCTGGCGTCCGACGGCCAACCAATACCCTCCCGTTTCGGATAGTATCGACCTAACAACATACACCCTAATTACCACCTGTATTCTGGGAACATCTCGGCGGATTCGAGCCAACCGCCTAGCTCTTCTCTGCTGCTCCAGTTGCTTTCATGCCATTCCTCTTCCGTCGCCTGCGCCACGGGACCGTTCAGATTCTTCATGTTGCCAGCGTGTTGCTCAACTTGCTCTTCGCCATCTACACATATATCAGCTTTGGTCCTGTGTTTACCGCCCTCCCTATATTTGGGGGGGGGGAGGCCTGTTGGGAGTTTGCGTTCTCGCCAGGGTAGTCTTACAGATCCATGGATGCTTCTTCCGATCCAGTAACGATCTTGCCTCCTCCAGCTCCACCACCAGTTGTTTGCAAGCGAGCCGCTCACTGGCCGCTCTTTCAGCCAGACCCACGATTCCGTCGCAAAAGACAACGGCCTTGTTGGCTGTGAGGATCTGGCGCTCGAAGTTGTGTTTATCTCCCCACACTTCCCTCAAAGCTTTGGCGTACTTGATGGCGTCCCTGACAGTTGTTCTGCTGTGCGAGATTCGGGCTGCCATCCTCCCGTATACCCGCTTGTCCTGTCTCTTGTGGAAGAACTTCTTGACCTTGTTCTTCCAAACCGTGTCGAGCGTGAAGTCCTCGGCCCAGCTTTGGAGAGGCTCGATGTCGGCTTCGAAGCATTGCACAAGCGCCTGAAATACATTGAGCGAGGCGTTCAACTCGTGGCGGAGGTTGCGCAGCGCAATGTCGATGGTAGGGTTGTGGGCTTTCGGGACGCCGAAGGGGTTATTGATCCCTTGATACTCGCCCTTCTGACCGCGACGGAGGCAATCTCGCGGACTCTGTTTCCTGGGTGACTTGGGCTATGAAAACATGTCGGTGCATTGGTCGTCGGACAAGCTGAGGCCACCCAGAGAGAGCTCTTGTTCGTTATCGTAGTAAGACTGAGATTGGACGAAGGGAACTCGTGCGTACGCCGGATGGGAAACATACGGTTGATAGTAGTCGCGAGAGTCCATCTCGCTTCGGGGTCGGGTTGCAAGCTGAGAGAATGTATTTGGGGTCGGATGGCGGACGTCGATGAGAATACAAGTACCCAAGATAGCATCGCAGAAGTCAACAAACTTCCTTTGTCGCCATGGCCAGACAAGCAGCGTTGAATCGGTTGTCTCATTTGCGTACAGTTTTCTGAATTCTCGTTGTCTCTTTGCTATTATCACCAGAGCAAACTTCAACCACAGGTAAAGCAACAATCTGTTTCCCGGGCTTCTGTGTGTTTCTAGGATCATTTACCTTACACCGAGCGCTGTGGATTGCATTGGAAGGCAAGAAATCATCACGCATCGTCTTCGATGTCTCTCCAGAAGGAAGGGCAGGCCGTGTTCTAGGACCGCAGCCTCCCATGACTCTCATGGTTCAAACAAGCTTGTTTTCTCCTGTTCTATTAGGCAAGCAAGCAAGCAAGCAGGCACGAGGGGGTCAACAAATTAGGAAGTTGGCTGCATGCGTCCAGTGACTGAACCGGGAATGGATGGGGGTTGTTTTCCTTTTCTTTTGTTTTTTTTTCCCACACGCCCCATACACACACACCACACCACATGTGACGACGTTGGTGCTACGGACCACGACGCCGTGGAACCAAGCGGGCAAGTTGTGATGGGCGAGATGTGATTGCCCTCACGAGGTCACGAACGACGCCTCTCTCTCCCCTTCTGGCCCCACGACGAGAAAAGAGGGCGTTTGTGGAGAAGCAGCAGTAGGAGTTCGTTCGTTAGCCCCTTGACGAGTCGGGTTAGATTCTCAGCTCCGCGGCCTTTTTTCTTTCTTCCGCGGGGGCCAGTCTGGGGAAGACGCGGCTAGCTGGCTGGCTGGTTGGTTGTCCCACCCAACCAGGTCCGATTGATTTGATAGTCGCCCTTGATCGCGCCCCCAAAGGGAAGCCGACATACACAGTACGTCCAGCCCTGGCCGGGGTTTCGGCAAGGCATCGGCACGCCATCTACGAAATGCGGCTGGCTGGCTGGCTGGCCCGTGGCCTGGTGTTTCACTCCATCCCACCACTCACCAGAGTCATCACGAGGCGGGGGGAGGGAAGGGCAAAAAAGGCGGATGGGCTTTGGGCTTGGGGGGCGCCAGTTTTGGCGCGGTCTGTGGCACGTCACATGTCGGGTGGCTTTTGGTCGAACGAGTTAGTGTAGTTGAGTTTCTCCGCTTGCGCAGCGCGCAGGCCAACAGCAAGCAATCGCAGGGAGGGTCAGAAACAGTGAGACGGATGGCTAGAACAAGCCAGGGCGGGCATGCCGAGAGCACGCGCTTAGTAGCAGCAGCAGCAGCAGCAGCAGCAGCAGCAGCAGTAACAATAACAATAAAAACACCGAGTGTGATGGGCAAGGCGTCTAAGTTTGCCCGCCATGTGTTGGCACTCACTCACACTCCTGGTTAGCTACTGGCTGACTGCTGAGCCTTGCGGTTCATCAGTTTCGTATCGCCGCAGTTGACGGATTCCTGATCGCAGGGGGGACGCAGATCACGGCGGCTGGCGGGGGCCAAGGCTTCATCCTCCCCCCACCCCCCTTGCCCAGCTGGCCGCCCCACGGCCGGCCCCATCGACAAAAGCGTGACAGGGCGGCGGGAAAACAAGGCCAACCACAACCGACAATGGACGCCTCGACACGGGGAATTGGGGGTTGGGCATTGTGCCCTGGCATTGTGCCCTGGCATTGTGCCCTGGCATTGTGCCCTGGCATTGTGCCCTGGCATTTCGTACGGAGGTATTTCGGACTGAAAGATGGAGGTTGCTGCTTACGAGTGAGTCAGGTAGGTACCGTGGCCGGCCGGCTTCAACACGCATCCATAAGGTACGAAGAGTTACTATCGAACCATTATTACCAAGCAGATCGATCATCTCGCATTTCTTTCGGATCAGGGTCGGGGTCACTTCCGGGGAGTCCTCCCGACATCGATTCCCTCGGAGAGATTGGCATTGGTCTGGTTCCTGGCAGTTTCAAAATCTCAATCTCTGGCTCAGGCCCGTTGCGTTGCCCATTGCCCAGTGATTTGCCCAGTGATTTGCGGGCGGACAGAACAATTGGAGGGCGGTGGGGTTCATCCAGGTTTGGGGTTTGGGCTCGGGAGGGACGGCCTGGACCGTGCGTCCGGGAATTCCGTTCTTGCCTCTTTTGGGCTGTGCTAGACCCGAACGGGACAAGAGCGTGCAAAAGGTGCAGTGTGCAGGTGCGCTGCAGCGGATTGCAGTTGCAGATGGCGGGGGACACCCGCATCGCCCGCGGGAGGCAATTGCCCTGACGAACCCTCGCGTTGTTTGGTTCGCTGTCGAATAAGCTGGCAGCAAAAAGAGGTAAGCGAATTGGAAAACGGGCTGCGGTGATTAGTATGTATTTATCATGGTGTTACGAAATTGGCTGGCCTTCCGTTCCTCGGGCGGGAGTGGATCTGATACCGGGCGGCATCATCCGCGAAATGGAACGAGGTGACCAGGGGCGACTTGCTTGAGGTGATCAATGCGACCATGGCAGCAACGAGGGGTTTCTATTCGTCTGTGGACGGAATGCGGGAACCACGACCCTTTTTTCATCTCGACGTCCTGTAGAAACTGGACAATGAAGGGGACGGAACGCAGCACATGCGAGTTGTGATCGAACGATCCTCACTCAGCCGATGGGACGAGCGGCATTGCTTTGTCGCTTGAGTAAACGAGTCAATTCCTCGGGCTGGGTTGTCGGGGAAAACTCAAAAGAAGCCTTTTCTTCGTTTTTCGCCCGATGTGGCAGCTGAGGGGCGAAACCTTTCTTTTTGAAAGCTGAAGAATTTTGCGTTTTCTGGAAGCGTTCTTTCTTAATTAACCCCAGACTTCCTTGCAGGAAAAGACGGCTGAGTGGTCCGACAAGCCTTTGACGGGTAGGTTCTTCCGGTTTAGACAAATATGGATATTAACCAATGTCTACGGGTATTGCCGGCTTGGTAACGGAGCGTACCCGACATAGTACGGTGTCTGCTGCGTACGACAGTTCAAACGCGCATGCTACGATCGGGATACCGGCGCCAGATGCTGAGGGGATGTAAACGAGCAGATCGGGGGATGGGAGCGCCGGTCTTGGTGGACCCTCTTCTGCCGGGTGACGTTGAAAATGAGAAGAGGGTGTGTGGCTCATGCTGACGAGTGGCGTGGCTGAGGATGAGACTTCAATGAACTTCGCCTCGTTTTCTACCCAGTCTCGCCAGTCTCCCATTGATGTTTGCAAGGTATTCCAGTATTCCTTGCGCCCGTTTGCCGATCAATTACTCGGTCTCATTGACGGAAATGTTCCGAGCCCACCCGTGAGCAGCATCTGTGTTTCCGTTCCCCGTTCCCCGAGATCCAGGGCAGCGATTTGTCTTGCGTCCCACCCTCCCGCTTCCTAACCCTGCGTCGCATGCGCGGGGTTCCTAGATGCAAGCGTAACCGTGCAGCAGCAAGCAGCAGTCGCAGCAACACACCACTATCACGCTTGCGCAAATAAGCGGGGGAATACCCGGCTCAAGGGAAAAACATCCACCCTTCACAGGAGTACTCCTCCACAACGCATGCTGGGGTAGGATGGGTTCGGTGGTGCTATCGGAATGCGTCCTATGCCCTTCCCACCAACAATATCACTGGGCTGTACGAAGGAGTCAAAACATCCTCGTCTCAAAGACTCGGGGTTCGGTGAGCTACCGGTCGGGGACGGGCAGTTAAGGCGGGGGCCGCCGGATGGTGTCGGATTGGGGGCAACCGGCAGGGTAGTCTTGGCGGCATGCCGCTTCCCGATCCTTCAGCTCTCGACGGAAGTTGAGCCGGCCTGTCCCGGGTCCATGTGTCGGTAAAAGGATCTGTGCACAGAGGTAAGACATGCAGAGACTGAAATCTCGGGTCTGAAAGTTACGAGATGTACCAATGGCAGCTGAGGCCGAGTGAATTCATCGAGGACGGGCAAAACAATCATTTCGGTGTTTCTAACGGGGACGGCACAACTCTCTAAATGTCTGGGAGGGGCGGGAGAAGGACGAATCGCAACAAAGGTCTGCCCGCCCTCCGTGGGCTTCCTGTTTAGATCGGTTGCATTTCTCACGGTTTGGGGGCTTGGTAATGCCCCTCCCACACCACCTGCAAGTGCTCGCTTCTGAATCTGGAGCATCTGGAGCCAAAACGGTGCAAGCTGCCACACAGTCAGCAAAGCCTCGGACCAGACGAGGAAGATGGGTCTCGTCATCCCACCCTCGGAGACCAGTTTGTACACCAGTGTCTCCAAGACTGTCTTACTTCTTTACACGCTGGCAGGGGCGGTGGTTTCAGTTGGCTTTTCACACTTGCAATTGGTATGGAGTCATTCGATTCGGCTAACTGCATAGCAGTTACTTCGTATCCATACAGCAAGTACTTACTAAGGTCGTCCGATGTCGACTGATGTTTGGGGCCTCCGTTGCTGGTCCATGTGCACGCTGATTCTCGATGCAGCCGGATTTACCGATCCACCAAAAAGCGATTCGCGCAGTGCTCATCGGGGCGAGGGAGAAGCCCTCATGAGTAAGCCGGCCAATACTTCGGTTCGCTTGCCACCGCCAGTTCGTTAAGCTCTGCACAATGCGCATCCGCTTCGCAGGACGCTGTGTTACTGCAGGCGACACTGCCCTCTCACGAAGGCATGGCCATGCGCTGTCATCGGTACGACGTTGCGACTCTTCTCGTTTTGCGCGCTGTGCCGCTGAACAGCGTGGTGGTGAATTCGGTCAGAGCCAGCCGTGTTAGGCTCCGGCGTGCCTGACCTGAACCTCCGTAGATTGCGGGGGGAAGGTCTAAAACCTGCCGTTTTGTATTCGTAGTCCATAACTAATCTTTGAAACCCGGAGATCGGTGGGTTTCATAGTGGGTAATTAAAACACGTTCCCGACGCCTCGTCATGTCATGGCTGGTTGTCTGGAGATTGGGGAAAAAAAGTTGAGTTCTGGTTCAGTCAGAGTCCAGGTCGGGTCCGCGCGGCTTACCATGCAGTCGTCGTCAATTTGTTGACTCGTTCGGGAAACCCGGGGTTGGTCGAGAGGGGAGACGACTGGGGGGTTGGAGAGACGCGCCAGGCGCCCGCCGTGGTCGGAGCAGCTCACACTAACTAACTGCTTGGTTACGAGACTCTGATGAGAAATCGATCAAGCCCAAACTCAAAATTTACAAAACGGGGGCGTGCACGAGAGATGAACCCAGACCAGCACGAGCCCTCACCGAGGCAGCGGTCCTGTCAGGGCTGTCTTGGCGTCTGACCCGAGGCTCTGGGACAACGGGAGCCTTTCTCAAGAGCCGAAGAGTCGCTGAAGGTGTTGGCTGTTGATGCAATCCCACAATGGCATCTGCCCGGGCTGGAAAGTTAGCTTGGACAGTTGGGGCTCATCCACCCAACCCGACATGTTATCCCGTTGAAACGCATCGATGCATCGACGCATCGCGTATCCTCAGTGGAGCCCATACCTTCAAGGTTACATGCAGAATACAGGGCGACGAGACTGACTCGTCGCCTATGTTGCAGTGCGTCAGACCGACTCGGCGCAAAAGTTCCCTAAAGCCTTCTCGGGTTGAGTTGAGTCCGCACTCGAAACGGATTCTTGAGACTGAAAGCATAATGAGGTTTCGCTGCTGTTGTCCACTGCCCCCAACTTCATCGTTGCCCTGGGAGATTTCAGGACGGGGATTGGGTGGGACACGGGAGACAAAGCGGACTGGGCCGGGGCGGTTCTCCATGCGCCATTGCAGAGGTGGAGTGCCATGCTCTCTCAGATCAGGGTCCACCCCCCCCAACGTTGGCCGAGTCTCCAACGCAACTGGGCAGGCAGGTTCGAGAAAAGAGAGAGGATGCAACCGTTGAAGCTAGAAGGTAAACTGCCAGCGGTAGTGGGTCCTTAAGGAAAAGAAGAAAAAAATACAACAAGAAGGAGGAAAAAACAATCAAAAAACACCCAACAAAACACAGCAGACTGCAATGTCCGTTGCTGGGTAAAAACCGACAGAATGCCAGGCGGTCTGTCCGGTCGTGGGCCCGAAACCCAACGAAGCGAACCTCGAGGTCGAGCTCCACTCTTGCTCCCTAGGCGAAGGTCATCATCTCCACTGTGAGCGTCGGAGCCGAGTGGTGTCCGGGCAGGTCGCAGGTCGCTGTTGGTTTGGGCCTGACGCGCCTCTATAATTCCTGGTTTTCCTTTTTGACATTGAGGTGGCGGCCACTCTTTCTCAGTAGTGACAGCCCAGTTTGGATCAGGTGTCGATGGCTTGCTGGCAGAGCCTGGAGATCATGGTCCGCATCGATACATGCACAATGCTGCTCACCCGCAATCCCTGCCCCCTGCTCTGGCGAGAAGAAGAAGCAGCTTCCAGGCCGTGCCAGCTGCGTACCTCGCGGTACTGCCACCGGCCCCACACACCTGCCACCCTTCCATTTGGGCCAGTCACAGGCCTTTGTGCCCTTCTTCCATTCATCGGACCGGGCTATCGACAAAGTCCAGTGGGGCGGCCGGGTCTGCAGGCGACAGTGCAGTACAAGCTCCAAGCACCGGTGGGACAAGCCCGTGCCAGAGGACGTGTGGGGACGTGGGAATCGTGCAACCCACCCACTCCGCCCTGTCCCATCTCTTGCTTGTCACCCTCGGTGCCTCTCTTGGTCTCTTGGTGCAGTGCACACGCACTCTCTGCACTCCTTTTCCTAGGAGCTTGCCTTCTTTCTCCCGTGGTCTCTTTTGTGTGTCTTGTTTTTTGATCCCAAGACACGACTTTGTGCTCCTTTGGGCCAGTCTCTCGTTCGCCGTTTCTGCCCACACACCCGATCCAAACTTGGAGGTCGCTGTTGCTGTCCACGGACCTCGTGCATCTCCATCTTCCACCCTCCCATCTTCCGTCTCTACATACCTACCTACCTACCTACCAACCTACATACGTACAGTACAGCCCTGGAGAGCACCACGTCAGTGCTGTCACCAGGTGCATACGTGCGTGTTGCTCGATCTCTGCTTCGTCCTGCGCCCAGAACCACCACATGCCTCATAACTCGGCCATCTGCAACACCAGAACGGCCACGGATCGGGTCGGTGGCAGGGACCAAACCAGAGGCATAACACACACATGTTCGCTGGCACTGCTGTTGTCCCGAGACACAGCTGCCGCATGATCAATTGTTCAGAGTGTGCGTCTGAGTAACTATAAAGACCGGTGGCAGCAGCTTCTCTTTGGGAGTGGCTCTTCCTCCTTTGTGCTCTGGACTCGAACGGCATTGTGCATAGGTTGTTCAGATTCTCGGACAACCAATTATCAACTCTGTTCAAAACATACATCTGCCCTTCCGACCGAGCCTTCTTGACATCTAGACTCGCTTCCTGCGACCGACCGCTGTCCTTCAAACAGGCGAACCTCCTTCGAACCTCCTCGAACCTCCTCGAACCTCCCTCGCAGTATCGACCCGGAAAGCTGAGAGACATAGTGGCAACACAAGCAGAAAAAAGCGTGGCGATCTTGAGGGAAGAAGGGGAGGACTGAGGGAAACTCTTGCAAGCCCATACACACTTGGTCAAGATGGTGCTCAATATTTCCGAAAGTGGTGTGTTGCTCGATGGCTCGGCCAAAGTCATGGCTGGGCTTCCTGCCCAAGCATTTGCCATCAGTCTGAGCGGGAGCGTTATTGAGGATATGATTTCCTGCGTTCGGAATGGCGGGGATATCCAATTGGCGCTGGGGAGCAATCCGGTAAGTATTGAGCTCCTGGTTCTGCATTTGCTTGCGATTGTTTTCTATTGAGCGGTATTGTACAATGCCGCAGCTGTTGATACCCCACGATAAACTCGGTGCTAAACCCCTCGTTTGTTTTATTTCTTTAACTGCTGTGCTCTTGTTCCAATCTGTTTCTAACTGCTCCAACCTTAGAAATTCCTATTCGACGATCACGAGCTTCGGATACCCAAGACATCAGACCCGTCCGGCTACGACCTTTTCCGGACCGATTCCGAAGACCCCTCGAGCGCAAGCAAGTTCGCCGAACCGACCATGTCGATCTTGAAGACCCCCAAACAGCACAAGCTTGCGGTCAAGGCGAAGGCCTCGAGACCGGCAAAGCCAGCAGGAAAGGGAGAAACGGTGAAGAAGGCGCCTGTCCGAGCCCCAGCGAAGTCCTCGAATGCCACACCAAACACTGCGGCCCGGCCTGCTTCTTCGTCGGCCAAAGAGCCGGGCACACAAAAAGGACCGGAAGACGCTGCGGCGAAGCTCAAGCGCTCGTTTGATAACCTGGCGGCAGACAAGCGCGAGAACTCGTATGGATATCAAAATGGTTCATTGTTGGAACTGATACTGACCTGGATCCTAGTGCTGTTATTGTTGGTGGTCTGCCCAATTCCAAAGGGGGGAAGTTCGGTCGATTGCTCGAGACCCACGCCGGCCCTACGCCTCGGTCATTACCACCCAGTCCAGCTTTGAGCGGCATTGGCTCGCCCTCGCTTTTGCCGTCCGGTAACTCGACACAGGAGAGAGCGAAGCAACAGCGATTTCCTCTCATGCACGAGTTGGCGGTCCAGGATTTGTCCCGTGAGGAGCTCTTGGAAAGGTGGGATGAAGGGACCGAGGAAGAGTTCAACACCGTGCTCGACAAGGTGGCGTCCTTTGACAAGGACATGCAGAAGTGGGTTTTGCGGAAGAACTGCTGGAAGGACTTGGACGTTTTCGAATACGACTATTCGGATGATGAACGCCGCCAGAAGGCCATCGCCAATGCCATCAAGTGGTTCGACCGCAATCGGCTAAGCGCATCGGACCCCCTTTGGCAGAAGCTGCTCCCCAAGGCGGACCGCGGAAAGGGGATATGCCTCAGCAACCTGCAAGTGACGCTTGCCAAGGGTCCCGTGGCAGCGAAACAGCGGAGCGATGCGGCCAGCGCCAGTGGGGCCGACTCGGACAGAGACGACTCGGCAGCTTCGACCACGAAGGGCAAGGGCGGCGAGCCCATGTCGAGGTCGAATTCCCAGACGTCGACAGGGAAAAAGAAGCTGTCTGCATCGGAAGCACAGGCGAAGCGGCTACTGTCGACCACCAAGAAGAAGCCGCTTCCGGCGCCGACAACCAAGGCAGCGCCGAAAACCTCAGCTCCCAAGCCAGCAGCGAAAGCCCCGCCCGCCAAGGGTGGACGGGTCCTGTCCAAGGAGTTTGTCTCGGATTCGAGCTCGAGCGACGACGAGGTGCCCCTCTCGTCGTCCAAGGGGAAATCCAAGCCCGTGGGCGCCCCTGCCCCGAAACCGGCACAACGGGCAGCCCCGAAACCAAAAGCGGCGGCGAAGAGCAAGGAGGTGGCCCCACCGAAGCCGAAACCTGCAGCGCCGGCAAAAACATCGCCGCGGGAGCCGAGCCATGAGAGGGAGAAGGACACTATCCGTGCCCAAGTCATCGCCAAGCCGATCAAGCCTAGCGCCGCCAAACGTCCGCGGGAGGCTGACGATGACGACAGCTCCAGTTCCGGCACCCCTCTCATGAAACGCGTGAAGCCTCCGGCGAAGCCCCTACCCGCTTCGACGAAGGCACGCACGGCTTCCGATGCGAGTCAGAACAGCCGCGCGGGCAGCGCCGGGGCAACCGCGCCCAAGGCCAAGAACAACTCGCCGGTCAAGTCGTCGCCCCTCGCTTCCTCGCCGCCAACAAACGCTACGGACGTCGAGCAAGACCGTGCCGCGCTCAGCCGGGCGCGCTACCGTGAGCGGGAGCGAGAACGAGAGCGGGAACGGGAGCGGGAGCGGGAGCGGGAGCGGCGCCGCGAGGCGGCCGTGCGGAGCTCTAGCAGCAACACGGACAGCAGCTCCGGCATCAGCGTCGGCGCCGCCAAGAAGCGGCCTCCTGCGGACTCGTTGCAAGCGAGCAGGGTCAAGCGGCAGCGGCCCTCCCAAGAGACCGTCGAGCTGGCGGCCAGGTTTAGGCAGTTTTACTCGCGGTACGAGCAGCTCCACCAGGACATCGCCAGCCACGACAACCCCGACCCGGACAAGCTTAGCGACCTGCTGGATATGCACAAGCGGCTGAGCCGGATGAAGACGGAGATCTACGCTGCGGTCGAGGTTTAAGCTTTGGTTGGTCGAGATGGATGGAAACGGGTCTCTGAGGAAGACAGTTTCTGTTTCGGTTGGGTTTCTCTCTATCGGCATGCTCGCCACGGTTTCGGTCATGAGTTTCTTTCTCTGTTCCTCCACGGGAAAACGACCACCAACACAGTCTCGAAAATTTGAAAAGAGAGGGAGGAGACGAGGAGGGAAAAGGGAGGACAAGGGAGCCAGCGCATCTGAGACAGGGCCTCGAAGCACATGTACCTTTCTGGTTCGGCGCATCATCACATTTGGCTTTACAGGGAGGGTCCCCCAACAGGGCGCCGGACATTTCATGGAGGAAAAAAAAGGTCCCGCATATTGGCGTTATAGCGAGCTATCTGGGCGATTGATTGACTGGTTGATTTAGAATTGATTTTCTTCTAGCGGGCTGGATCAATGTATGGATCCTATGATACCAGGGCGGCGGGTAGGAAAAACCGTCTTTGCCCACCATGACGAGCGAGGATACTTGAGGCGTTTTTTATGATGAAGAAATATGAAGATCGTCCAATGTTACCGTGCCGTGGCCTTGCTGGCTTGTGTGTTCGTGTGTGTGTGTGTGTTTTGAAAGTGGTCTTCAAAAATCAGCTGTCCGCGCACGACGTATTACCTTGGTATGTGGTTTACATTATGGCACGGCTTTGTTGCATTTGTTACGCCACTTAACGCTCAGTGGCACCCAAGCCATCGGGAGCGAGTTCAGCCGCACATATAAGACGTATTATGGTTGCAATGTCACATCGGGCGCGGTTGTGCCCCTTCAAAACATCATCTTCCACCTGTAAAGGCTTGGGAACGGAAATGGGAAGTCCGGTTGCGGTAATTAGGCCTGGGGTGTATATCATTCGCAAACCGCGGGACCGGGAGCACGTCGTTACCCATCTCCGGTTCCAACTTAACGTACAACAGTAAACGAATAATGGGGATTCCTCCTCCATCATGTCGCCACGTCTGCCATCAAGCAGTCCTCCTCCTTCTCTTCCGCCACGCCTGGCGCTCCTTGTTGTTCAGTACCTCCGCTCGGCCTCGGGGATTTGTCCATCCAGCCCAAGTTATCCGCCGCGGGGCAATTCTCTTCCTCCTCCGTCCGTTTTCTTTTTCTCGGGGTTGTCGGCTCGCTAGGTAAAAGCAGGTTGTCGGACTGCGGTAACATTCCTTAGAGGGATGTTGTCACAGCCGCGAGAGAAAACGGCGGAGGCCGCTTCCCTACTGGGTTTTGAATAGTAGGATCGCGCAGTGGCCGAGGTAGAAGTAGATGAAGTGCTTCGTCTCTGTTTTAGGAGGGAGGGGCCGATGTTGTTAGCAAACGGAATGACTAGGAGTAGGAAGTGTCATTACATACCGTGGGTTACAAAGCTGCCGAAGTTACGGCCAACGATGCAGTGCCAGGTAGGGCCCTTCCTCTCATCGAACTATGGGAGATATGTCAGCCAAAAGGCGGGGTTTGGTGTTTCGAGTGACACGCATACAGTCCGCTTGATGTGATGGGCAATGTCCTATTCGCACAATGTCAGTATGCTGTGTTCTTAGCATGGGGATGTCGGGGATGCCGGGTGGGATGTCGGGGATGCCGGGTGGGATGTCGAATGGGACAGACCTTCTCAATGGTGAACTTTGCCATTGCCTCCTGGGCTAAATCGCATCGTGGGTTAGTTTGAAACGGGTTTGGCGCAGTCTTGAAGGCCGATGCCCGATTGTAGCTCCTACGTACCGACTTCGACGACCTCTTGTTGCATGTCCTCGGTCTTGGGCAAGGTGGGCGTGTTAGTGCGGTGATCCGCCGAAACCGGAAGAGCTGACGCTTCGATGCAAGAGACGTACCATATCAGCGCTCTTGATCTGAGCTGTTTCAGAGTACATCATGCAAGGATTAGCAAACACGGTGGAGGGCGTGATAACCTAGATGCCAGGAGAAGGCCTACCCTCGAGCTTCTCCCGAGCAACAGGGGAGGTGCTCCGACCAGCCTTGACCTCGTCGCCCGGCATTGTGTAGTAGATCGAAGTGGGTGGCCGCTCAGCAGTTAGCACAGAATCTCCAACCATTCACCAACCCGGACACTGGAAGAGGGGTCGACAATGTTTGTGCGGGCGATGCACTCCTGGATCCCATCCTCCGTCGCGGGTTCCGGATTTGGGGTCCAACATACAGGCAAACAATGTCTAAGTTAAGCTAATGTTCGAAACAAGCCCTGCAAATGCGGGTGCGGGTAGGCGTGCGGTTGGGCTATGATGTATGGGAGCGACAGAATGACAAGCAGTTACGGACGTTGGATGATCGAGCAAGGCGGTCTCTCAGAATTTTGATTGTTTTGGGTTGATCTCAGTTCCGGGTTGAGAAGGAGGTCAACGCGGCTCGGCCAAGCTAAATCATTGGCGCCACAGAGTTGCTTTCCTGCGAAGCGCTGAGTCGCGGGGGGAACCGAGGCGGGATTGGGTGTCCTTGGTGATAATGGAAGTACCAGTACCTATCAAGCCCATACAAACTCTTAGTAGAGACAAGTATTAACACTTACAGGTCCGTTGCTGTGGAGCGCGGCGGTGTGGAAAGGGCCCAGTCGGCAAGCAGACCCATGCGATAAGATAACAGAGATGTGGAACGCTTCCATTGCATTGAAATTTCTTGGGGCAAAAAGTGCAAAAACAGACACGGGCTTCTTCCATGCACTTCATCGAACACAAATCACATCAACAACGGGATGACCACCCGGTAGCATTGGCTTCAAACTCTGTCGGCGGCAGATAGAAAGAAGCAAAATAATCATAATGGAATCGTCAAGAGTGTTCGTCAAGAACCTGCCGCCCTCCATTTCCGAGGCTGAGTTCCGCAAACACTTTTCGGCCCAGGGCCGCGAAGTCACCGATGTCAAGCTCATCCCCAACCGCCGCATCGGCTTTGTTGGTTACAAGTCGCATGAGGATGCTGCAAAGGCCGTCAAATACTTCAACCGGTCCTTTATTCGCATGTCCAGGATTGGCGTTGACCTAGCCAAACCGGTAAGCACAACCCCCCCGTCCCAACCTGCGGGAGCTGTTGCTAATCATAGATGCAAGATTGCAGACTCAAACCCAAGACTGCCAACCGCAAAGGATGGTCAACGCCATGGGGTACACAGGGGTTCTGCTCTCGAACCTAACGGTCCCAGCATAGAGCAGCCCGAGGACGAAAGTTCCAAGAAGAGGAAGCGGGAGGTGCTTGACGAGGCGGACCACAAACTGCAAGAGTACCTCGAAGTCATGGGCCATCCGACCAAAAAGGCTCGAGACCAGGAAGCGTCAAGCGGCGATGTCCAGCCAGAGTTGGCGTCCGCGCTGCCCCCTACTATTATGGAAGCAGGCGAGAGTGACGACGAGTATGAAGACATCCCCGCACGCCATCCAAAAGGGTCAGCTCAGGTGTCTTCACTTCATGTCGACATCCCGTGTATTCCTTCGGCGGATAGCGAGCACCCTATGCCCGCAGCAGGAGACGGACCTGCAAGGGAAGCACCGCAAGTATCCGTAGATGCAACGGACGACGACTGGCTTCGGTCGAGGACAAGTCGTCTGCTCGACCTCGTGGATCCAGATGATCCGGGTTTTGCCACAAGGGTAGCTCCATCAGTGCCTGCGGCTGTATCTGCACCCGAACCTCAGACGCCGACGGCGGATGCTGCTGATCCCGAGCTTGATGGACCCAACGAGGACGCTCCCGTGCAGGCTGGGAGTAGCGAGGACGTTGCCAAGCTAGTCGAGAAGACATCAAGGCTATTCCTCCGAAATCTCAGTTATAATGTCAGTGAAGACGACATCAGGGAACACTTCAGCAAATTTGGAAACCTTGAGGAGGTGAGCATCTTTCTATTGTTTTCTTTTTCCCTCCCAACTCCCCACCCTTCCATGATGAATCCCTGATAGGGACAGCTTATGCCAATGGCATATGATGAGACCTGGGCTCGGTATTTTAGTAGATGCTTCGAGATTCTGATGAAAAGGGCCGATTAATCATTTGTGTTTCTCACGGATGGCATTGGACTCTCGCTAACAGCGTGGCAGGTGAACGTACCGTTGGACAAACAGGGCCAGAGCAAGGGTTTCGCCATGATTCGGTATGAGCAACCCGCTGCCGCGGTCGATGCATTCCAAGCCGACGGCTCGGTTTTTCAGGGCCGAATAATACACATCCTCCCTGCCTCTGCCAAAAGGGAGAACAAGCTTGACGAATTCGCAATTTCGAAATTGCCCCTCAAGAAGCAGCAACTTCTCAAGAAAAAGGCCGAGGCCGCGTCCAGCAGCTTCAACTGGAATTCACTTTTCATGAGCCAAGACGCCGTTAACACAGCCATGGCAGAACGTCTCGGAGTTTCCAAACACGAGCTCCTGGATCCCACTGACGCGTCTGCTGCTGTGAAACAGGCAGTTGCTGAGACCACAGTAATTCAAGAGGCCAAGGCCTACTTCGCCACCCATGGCGTGAATATCGAGGCGTTCAAGTCGCAGCAACGAGGCGATACCTCGATACTCGTGAAGAACATTCGAAACGCCTCGATTGAGGAGTTGAGGACCCTCTTTGAGGAGCACGGCGCCGTGCTGAGAGTCCTGATGCCACCAAGCGGTACCATCGCGATCGTTCAGTTCGCCCAGCCAGCAGTCTGCCGAGCTGCGTTTGCCAAAAAGGCCTACTCGCGGTTCAAGGAATCGGTTCTGTTTCTCGAGAAAGGCCCGAAAGGGCTGTTCGTAGACCATGCGGCCCCACCCCAAGATCGCCCTGCTGGTGTTCAAAAGCCGTCCGTTGCCGAATTGCTGGAACGCGATGACGCTGAGGATCAACTGGAGACGGCTTCTCTATTCGTCCGTAATCTCAACTTTTCAACTACCACCGAGGGCTTAACCAGCGCCTTCAAACCCCTGGACGGGTTTGTAAGCGCAAAGGTCAAGACCAAGACGGACCCCAAGAAGCCGGGTCAGGTGCTCAGTATGGGTTTCGGCTTTTGTGCTTTCAAGACCAAAGAGCAAGCCCAGGCGGCTCTTAAGGTCATGGACGGGTACGTACTGGATGCACACAAGCTCCTTGTCAAAGCATCGCACAGGGGTCATGACGCGGCCGAGGAGCGAAAGCGTGAAGACCTCGCCAAGAAGGCGGCGGCGCAGCGGACAAAGATTGTCATCAAGAACCTCCCGTTCGAGGCATCTAAAAAGGATGTCCGCGCCCTATTTAGCGCATATGGCAAACTGGTTGCACTTCGCCTTCCAAAGAAGTTCAATCACACATCGCGCGGATTCGCTTTTGCCGAGTTTTCAACAGCGAAGGAGGCGCTCAACGCTCTCACTGCGCTAAAGGACACCCATCTTTTGGGGCGTCGGCTGGTGCTTGATTTTGCAGAGGCCGATGAGGTCGATCCGGAAGAGCAAATCAAGGCCATGGAGAAGAAGATCAGGGGGCAGGTGAACAAGGTTACGTTGCAGGAGCTTACAGGAGAAGGGAGGAAAAGAGTCAACATCGGGGATAACGATGAAGACGAGGCATGAAGGTAATGACAGCATGAAGAATTGATCTCTCCATAGGCCTCGGATTAGAGACAGGAACCTCAAGAGATGTCTCGGTGGCCACACCGCCCTTGCCAAGGAGGCGTTGCCTATCGCCCCCTGGCGGTCCCTCTGCAGAAACCCCCACCTCAGTTCTTTGAAGATTGTTTGGCCAGCCCACACCTTTCCCGTTGCGTCTGATCGGTTCCTGCGTAGGGCTAATCTTGTCCGCGTGCCTGGGGTGGCTTTTCCCCCGGAAGCAGCCCGCGGTCCCGAGACGCTCCGCGCCAACCGAGAAGCTGCGCAGGTTTTCATGGGGCCCGTATCCACGGCTTGGGTGCCCTTGCGTTCCAGTTGGTAGCATGTTGGGTTTATGTGTGTCCAGGAAGGCTGGACCAACAACCCTGTTTGGCATAGGCGCGACATTCGCCCTGGGTGGTGTTGTTGCGACGGCATCCCTATACCGGGATGGGGTACACTCGATCCTGGCCTGGTGCGTGTGTCGAGGGTGTCCCGTTTTAACATATGCTGTGCTCCCTTCAAAGGATGGGGCGTTTGTATCCCAGCATATTTTATATCTACGCTCTGGCTCGCATCCTGATGGTTAGCCATTCCTCTCCAGAATTCCTCTTCTGCTCATACTTCAACTGGCGTTCCTGAGCCAGTGTTTGCCGCCCAGGATACGTTGTAGGACTGACATGTCCACTGTGCTCAACAATGGAACTCCCAGTCGGACTTCCAGTACTCTCGGCTCAGTGCTATTCACCATCGCCGGATCATGGATTTGAGGGCCGCCGTGGAGTTTCGAGTTCCAGGCAGCCCCTCCAGGAGTCGACCGGCAACATCCAGCACCCTCACATGGCCTGGTACGCCCAGCACCTAGAAGCTCTCTCGTCGATCCCATCCTCGATCCCGCCGGCGATGCCGCCTGTACTGAGGACACAGCCACTTGGGCCAGACTACGGCGCACCGGCGTATGACAGATCCCAGCAACGACACGAGGTTCACTCGCATAGCAGACAGCGGACGCAGGGATCCAACCCGCTCATGCCCTTGTTGACGAAGGACTTCCAGAACTACCGGAAGAAGCAGGAAGACAAGCCAGACCAAAAATGGCCTGAGGTGCTGGAGGGGTTCTTCCTAGATGGTAAGTCTGCGGGCAAACAACGGCGCAGACCCGGGGCTGTGTATGGCTAACCGACCCCCTCCCTTAGCGCTGCTGCTCATCCCTCAGATAGGGCGCAGTAAATACACCATGAAGCAACAAACAAACGGGCGGAACCAGCTCATCGGCGAATACCTGTGGATTGCCTGCTGTCACGGCCTGAGCCCCGGAGCGGAACTCGACCCGCATGTGTTGGAGGTGAAGGCAAGAGGAGGAAGGAAAAAGGTGTCCAGCCACATCCAAGTGCTCAGGAACTTCTTTTCGGCTCATCGTTGCTGTAAGTCTATCCTCGGCGACCCCGCCCCCCCTGGCGCCCTTTTTTTCTCGTGTGGCGTTGGCGCCCTGCAGGTCGGGAGTGTGACCAACAACTAACAAACACGCCATCCCTTGCCTCACAGTTCACTTTCTATTTGGCCCACGACAGAGGGACAAGGAGGACATCCACGTCGAGAAAGGGTCCCTCAAGAACAACCCTGTCCTGATTGCTTTGTCCGAGGGCCGCATCGAGCGGCCTAACTACGAGTATTTTGCACGGATCTTCGCCCTGAATGAACAGGTGCAGTTTAGGCCGAAGCGCTGCTGGATCTTTGTTTCGCATCCGGATGTGGTCGTCAGCGAATACGGGTCTGGGTACCTGCCGGCAACGGACGGCAAGCTCGTCGAGTCCGAGTACCCGCACCTCCCACGCAATCTTCAACGGGAAACGTGGGCCAAGGAGGAACAGCAATTGTTCAAGGGGGCACTCCTCCATGAGTTCACCAAGGAAATCCACCAGGTCGAGTCCAGCAGCGTCAGTAGTTTCAGCAAAAAATGGGCGTCGGCATCCCCGGATTTGCAGCAACGGTTGAAGAATATCACCTCTTCAACCACGGATGCGAAATGCGACATTTTGCACTTGCACGCCACGCTCGAGCTGAAGGAGAAGCGGAGCTTCCCGGCCGAGTCGAACCTCAGCTCATGGGTTGAGATCAACATTGAGCAACCACGCCTGCTCAACCACCGGTGGCGGGTCGAGACGCGGCTCGTAAGACCCCCTGAGCTGAGCTACTCGCACGATGACTCTCACGGAATCTCCTCTCAGGAAGACATTTGCGAGCGACACAAGGAGTTTACGATCAAGTACCAGCACCAGCCAGGCTGCGACGGCTCCCGCAATAGCTCTCGCGGGCATTGTGAATGTCTGTCCCAGCGTAACCGTCGCGACGGGGTTTCGGTTCCGTTTCCGATCCCCTTTCCCGCTACGGCCTGGGCGCAAACAATCACCAATTGTGCCGAATACCCAGCCCATCCCTTCAGCGGTAACAAGAGACATGACAGGGAGCGAGGCGCAGCCGTCAAGATGGATAACGATGACGAGGATGGGCGAAGATCCCGTCGGCGCATTAAGCAACCGACGCAAATGGACTTGGTTCCGAGGATTTCTATGATGCAGGAGGTTTTCTCGTGCCCGCCAACCTCACCTCACGAAGTTGGAAGCAGTAATGCAGCAGATCAAAGGTGGACGCGCCGTGCCGTGATCCTCTGGACGTTTGAGACAATCCACAGCATTGTTGTCGACAAGAACAAGAAGGAGCAGCTAGTGACGGCCCCGAACGGGAGAACCAACTGGCGGTTCCTAACAATTCTAGATCCAGCCAGCGAACAACACCAGAGGCAGGCTGTCGCCAGCAGCCGCAGGGCTTCTGCTGACGAGTACCGGGGCGTCTCGGACAACCTCGCCTGCTCTTCCCGACCGGCATCCCGCGCCGCCGCCCTGTCCCCCAGCCCGACCTACCAGCAGCACCTGGGCACGGGTGTGAATGAGAACTTTTCCGCGTGGGATAATGGCGGCGGGCTTTCCTCGTTCTCCGGCCCAGCGGTCCAGGCCTACAGCACTCATTTCATGTCGCACGCGATACCCCCGCACACGGCGGTAGGCCAGGGGAGTTATGGTCTACTCGACAGTTTCAGTAGCCATAGCAACCTGGCTACACCGCCTCCGAACGCCTCCATGGCTAGTTCCTTTGCGCAACCCTTCAACACGGCCTCAACAAGCTCAGATATGCTGTCGGACGGCTACATGGTCACGCATGGCGCGGTGACATCGGCGGGCATGGACCCAGGCTCGCACAACCTGGGCGGTTCCCTCTCGGCGGTAACTGACCCTTTCTTATCGCATGTCGGCGCCGCATACGGCGGCTCGCAGGACAATATCCACGGCATCCAAGGCTGGGACGGCCACGGCGTCATGGGCGGCATAGACGCTGCCGCTTCCTGGTCATCTGGATACTCTAATCACAGCGCAGTCCACAGCGTGCACAGCGGAAGCATCGACTGGTCTGGGTCACAACCGGCGACTGTTCCCTCCAGGCGGGGCAGCGAACACCAACACCAACCGCACCATCGCGCAGACCGACCGCCGTGGGCGCCACAATCACACGCCATGGATGATCACGGCGCCTGGACGCCCATGGCCTCGGAACCCCCCCGGGTCGGCAGCCAGGACAGCCATCATCACCACCACGACATCAGCAGCAGCAACCCCCACCACTCCCACCACAGCCATCATCCCAACCAACACGACCGCTACCGCCAACAAAGGCGTAAACACAGCCACCCCCCTCACACGCATACTGACGCACCATCATTATCATCAACATCAACGGGCAGCGGCTCCGACATCTCACAGGAGTGGGAAAAAGAAATGCAGATGCATGCACTACCGGGCTCGGGCTCGGGCTCGGGCTCGAGGTCAGTATCCACGGGGCATTCGCCTTCGTCGCCGCATTCCCCGCGCTCGCTAGGACCGCTGGAGGGCGATGATTCGCTGGGTTCGCTGGAGCTGGCGCACGCTCCAGATGATGTGGATGGGGGTTTGGGGAGAGAGGTAGCGGAGACTTCCTTGGGAGTGGCTAGGGCGGGTTTGAAGAGGAGGTGGGAGGAGGAGGAGGAAGGCGAGGGGTTGAGTTGATCGGAGGAAGGTCTGGGGTCGGTCTTCATACACAATACGAAGGCGTTGTTGTCACGGGTTGATTGTGTTTTCTCCGCTATTTTTCTTTTTTTTGCGGTTATGTGTGGGGGTTGGGGTTCATACTTCATTGGGGTTGGAGGAGTAATACGCCACTATACTATGCAGCAGTAGTCGATCAATCATGAACCATGGTCGAGTGAATCCTGGCCTGAACCAATGCTGCGTCATCGATTGTGTAATGTACACGTAGTAGAATGTGAAAACCGAAATCCGAGTGGGAATCGCCAAAAACCGAGACCTGACCTAGCAGCCGCCCAGGGTGAAACGAGCAAACCCCACAAGAAACAATCCAGCGTACAAACGGCGTGGCCTTGTCAGGCCTCCGGGGAATCTTGCTGGCATACACAGGAGCACATGACAGAGTGGCCGGGTATGATGGTCGGTAGGGAGAAGACCAGTTCCCTTATCTCGGCGGGAAAAGGGACGATGGTTTGGAGCTAGGGTAACGGAGATCTGAGGAACGGAGGCCAAAACACCCGGCCTGCTTATATGGGGGCGATATGTTTGAGTAACCTTTATCCGCCGAGCAGGATCGGAGGTTTAATTATTGGACAACTCAGGTTCAAGTTTTTCTCTCGTGTGCAGTGCAGTGGTGAAACGGGAAGACGTTGTATAAAAATAGGCAGGGACGAGATTAGGTCCCGAGGTAGGTAGGGAGTTACCCGTTTAGTTATCTGTGGGTAGGGCTGGTTGCTCAAATGCACGACAGGCAGGAACAGACAGGGGTTAAGGACGGTTCAGATGAGACAAGCAACGGCGATCCCTGTGCCAATCATCAACGGCTGGGCTAAAATCGTTCGTCTTAATTTTTTGTTAGCGCGTTCTGTCCGTGCAAACCCAAGACTGCCTGCCGCAACAGTCAGCCGTCCCAAGGAGGATCCCAGTCTTGACCAGATACCGAGTTCGTCCTCATGGCCGGGCCAAACCGCAAACATACAAGGAGATAAGGGAAAAAAAAAAAGGAGAACAGGGAAGAAGAAACAAGATATTTGCATAATGCCTCTCAAGTCTGGCGACCGGTTTCGAAACAATTTCGCTTCGCAAAGCCAGGACGACGGGCGGTAAACCCCCCAAGCGCGCTCCGGCTTCTCTGGTCCGATCAGAGGATGCGGCTGCCCGGGACCGGCCTTGAGACGGGCCCAACCTGTTTCTCCTGGGGTCGCATGTGGGTGCATTTGCAGCGAATCGCCCGCAGCTTGGGCCCTGGCAATGCAACCCTGTGGGTCTGCCAGGTACGCTCGCCTATCTGAGTTTGGCGGCGAGGGAACGGCACGAGTGGATGAGGTGCATCGGCTCTAATGCTTGGCATTATTGGCATGCCCACGCGGGTAATTCTGCTCCACTCATCGCCCTAGCCTGCGGCGCGGATCTGGGGAAAGTCACTGGTCGCGCAAGTTGGCGCGGTGAGGTGACTTCCTGGATACCAAATTCTAAAATGAAACCTTTTCTTGCCATCCACACGCTTCAACCACCCCGGATGCTTCGTCGATGAAGCTTCCGGGGGTAGGTACACCACATAAGCGTGTCCACCATGGGGGGTCCCTTCCTTCCTTCCATGTCCTTGCCCTTACCCTTGCCGTAGCCGACGGTATTGGAGAGCGCCTGCTACTTTCCGTTGCAACCTAAAACCTTGGGCCTGGGCGAGTCTCCGAGTAGGATGCCCAGCACCCGTCAATGGGTCAGTCCCCCAGGTCTTAACCCTCTTAGCCTCTCAGCCTCCCCTACAACTCAAGACTACCTAGACCCATGGACCCTAGACCCGGTGCCCTCTTGCTCCAGGCCCTTTCCAGACCCTCTCCAGGCCCTCTCCAGACCCTCTCCAGACCTTGGCCGTCACCCGGCGCCAGCCCGATCTTGTGTTTTCCCAGGTCCTCTCCGTCTTCCCATGAGATCAGCCGATTCTTCCTTCTCCGATGTCACCGACCCGGACTTTTGGAAAACTGATCTCCCGGTCCTCCTGGTCTGAACAGCCCACGAGGTTTCAGGGCCCTCCGATGCCACACCCGCCCGGCCGACTTCTATCCCACTCCGATCTCTGTGCAGCGCCCTTGGACAGGATATTTACAGCTGCCGCCGCCATCTTGGCAACTTTTCTTCTTCAGGTTCCTTGGCCTTCATTCCACCTTTTCTCTACGAATCGACCACTCTCTGTCACCTTTTGTGTGCAGTGCTCGATCCCGTAACAGGACCACCAGCAATACAACCCACCGCCAACAACCCATCGCGTGTTGTTAACGAAGCGAAACCGATACCCCCCTCGAATCAACCAACCTTTGTGTTTGACTCGCCTTCCCAGAAACTTGTCATTCAACAAAGCATTGTTCAACCAACCCTCTTTGTGTGTGTGTTGAACCTACTATTCAAAATCGCCTCACAATACCCGGAAGCCAACAACCGCCACACCCGACTGCTATTCGGCGCACATTTGTCCTGACCGGTATTGTTCGTGCTGGCACGAACAGTATCAACGCTGGCCGTGAGGTAGCTTGTCTTCGATTCCTGACCAAATTCTATTCTTGAATTCTTGAACAAAAAACCGCCATTTCCTGCAGGATTTAAACCGGGACTCGACGACAAAAAAACAACAACAACAACAACAACACGTTCCCGTCATATTCGACATCAACTTCTCCCGGCAACAGCAACTCGTGGGATTTTTATATACCAACATTTAGTAACATCAACAAACTAACATGAAGCTAACATTTTTGGACCGCACCGTGGCCGTATGGCTGCTTGCCGCCCTCTCCGGGACGGCGATAGCCCACTCATGGCCCGAGCAAACCATCCGCCTCGCGCCCAACGGCAAAGAAATTGGGAAGCCCGGCGCCGATAGAGCCCACATCGAGACCGGCACGGGAGACTTTTTGATCCCACCAAATGGCGGCGAGAAGGTTATCAAACCCGACCACAAGATCGTAAGAGATACTCAGGGGCCCTTGAACGATGCCAGCTACAGCGACCAGTTCCCGATGCTGTCGGTCGCCCAGGGCGACTTTGTCGCAATCAAGTACCGCGAGAACGGCCACGTCAGCCGCGCCGACAAGTCAAACCCTGAAAAGCCAGTCAACCGCGGCACCGTCTATCTTTACGGAACCAACGAGAACGACCTCTCCAACGTCAACCTCATGGACGTGCATCTGAAGTGGACCTCGGATGGCAAGGGTGGAAACGGCAAGGGCAAGCTCATCGCAACGAGGAACTACGACGACGGGCAGTGCCACGAGGTCCTCCCCTCGGACGGTGACTTTGAGGGCATCGTCGGCTACCGCAAGGAATTCATCAGCAAGGCCGACTCTCTCCTTTGCCAGAATGACATCCAGATCCCCAGTGACGCCCCCGTCGGCAAGGTCTACACCGTCATCTGGGTTTGGGACTGGTCCTCGATGAATGAGCAGGGCGTCGCCGTGCCCCCGGCCGAGTACGGCGCCGACTCGGTGCTCACGCCGGGAGCTATACACCGGCGTGGTCGACTTCAGGTCGTCGAGGCCTGCGACGACAGCCTCGGCGAGGTCAAGGG